GGACTCTTTGTGTAGAAGCGTCGGTTATAGCCAGAGACATCCTCCTGGTATTTAGTCTAGAGTTCCTCCAAATGCTGCAAATTGTATCAAATTGGGCCACGTTAAGGCCCACTTTCATAACACAGATAGCTGCTTCACAGACCTTCAGTGGTTCCAAACCAAAGGGTACTTGTGCCCCATGGGGTATTTCTGCAGTTACCAAAAGGTACGTGACAGATGACTAGCCCAAGTAATTAAGAAAGATATGAGTTAAAAATGTAAGTTCGCCAAACAATCCAATGCTCAATCTCAATCTTTATCTATTTATATAGCACATTTAAAACAACCTTCAGTTGACCAAAGTGCTGTACAGGCAATAACTACAATATTAAATAACACAATGGGAGTACAATAATAAAACAATGCTAACCTTTACAGTTTATTACCGTTTCTTCTTTTTAATACTTTAAACTGTTTATTCTCTACTTTATCTAGCCGGTTTAGACCTCTGATCACTTGCTAGTTTTCACAAACTCAAATGCAAACCTCTCGTGTAGGACTGTATCAATCCAGCTAGGTTTGGTTTGAGTTGGCCAATTTTGGAGATCAGCTGAAGACATGTCTTCGAAAAACTAGCAATATGTCTTCCCAGAAAAAAGGACCCGCTTAAAAATATCTTCATTTGATATTCCCAGCACACTGCAACTCACGTCAAAATCAACCTACACATTACATTACATTACATTACATTGCATTTAGCTGACGCTTTTATCCAAAGCGACTTACAATAAGTACATTCGACCAGGAAGACACAACCTTGAAGAAAACAGAATCATATAAGTACATCAGGTTTCATAGAGCCAAACATTTCAAGTGCTACTCAACTGGCTATAGATAATCCAGTCCTTTATTAGTATAAAAGTGCTTCGTTAATAGTTCTAACGCTCGAAGTGGAGTCGAAAGAGATGAGTTTTCAGTCTGCGCCGGAAGATGTGCAAGCTATCTGCCGTCCTGATGTCAATGGGGAGCTCATTCCACCATCTTGGAGCCAGGACAGCAAACCCACGTGTTTTCGCCGATGGGAACTTGGGTCCCCCTCGCAGCGAGGGGCGCAACGAGTCGTTTGGCTGATGCAGAGCGTAGTGCACGCGCTGGGGTGTACGGTTTAAACCATGTCCTGGATGTAGGAAGGGCCAGATCCATTCGCAGCACGGTAAGCAAGTACCAGTGTCTTGAAGTGGATTCTAGCAGTTACCGGAAGCCAGTGAAGGGAGCGGAGGAGCGGAGTGGTGTGGGAGAATTTAGGAAGGTTGAAGACCAGACGAGCCGCTGCATTCTGGATGAGCTGCAGAGGTCGGATGGCACATGCAGGTAGACCAGCCAGGAGGGAGTTGCAGTAGTCTAGGCGTGAGATGACGAGAGCCTGGACCAGAACCTGAGTCGCTTTCTGAGTCAGCTGGGGACGTATCTTCCTGATGTTGTAAAAGCGTGTATCTGCAGCAACGGTTTGTAGCAGCGATGTTTGCAGTGAAGGACAGGTTGTTATCTAGGGTCACACCCAGATTCCTTGCAGTCTGAGTCGGGGAAACAACTGAGGTGCCGATGTTGATTGTTAGGTCAAGAGTGGGACAATCTTTTCCCGGGAGGAAGAGCAGCTCAGTCTTGTCAAGGTTGAGCTTGAGGTGGTGAGCAGACATCCACTGAGAGATGTCAGCTAGACAAGCAGAGATGCGTGCAACGACCTGGGTCTCTGAGCGGGGAAAGGACAGAATTAATTGGGTGTCGTCAGCGTAGCAGTGGTAAGAAAAACCATGCGGGCTAATGACTGATCCGAGCGAGTTTGTGTACAGGGAGAAGAGGAGGGGACCAAGAACAGAGCCCTGAGGGACCCCCGTAGTTAATTGACAAGGGTCGGACTCAGACCCTCTCCAAGTCACCCTGTAGGTACGGTCTTTCAGGTATGAGGTGAGGAGGGAAAGAGCAGAGCCTGAAACTCCAAGTTTTTGGAGAGTGCGAAGGAGGATCTGATGATTCACCGTGTCGAATGCAGCAGACAGGTCCAAAAGGATGATGACAGAGGAGAGGGATGCAGTTTTGGCAGTGTGCAGTTCCTCCGTGACAGCAATGAGAGCAGTTTCTGTGGAGTGACCTGCCTTGAAACCAGACTGGTGCGGATCCAGAAGGTTGTTCTGATTGAGATAACAGGAGAGTTGTTTAAAGACAGCGCGTTCAAGTGATTTAGACAGGAACGGGAGGAGAGAGACAGGCCTGTAGTTTATAACATCAGACGGGTTGAGAGTGGGTTTCTTTAGGAGAGGGTTTACTCTTGCCTCCTTGAGACTGTTTGGAAAGTGACCAGAAGTTAGAGAAGTGTTGATGAAATGGGTGAGAAACGGTAGAATATCAGGAGCGATAGTCTGAAGGAGGTTTGAAGGGATAGGGTCCAGAGGACAGGTGGTAGGGTGGGCAGAGGTAATGAGGGTAAGAACCTCACTTGGAGAGAGAGGGGAAAAGGAGGTAAGTGTGTTGGTGGAAGGAGGGTCTGGTGACCCAGCGGTGAGTAAAGGTGAGTCAGAAAAAGAAGAGCGAATATCATCAACCTTTTTTTCAAAGTGGGTAACAAAGTCGCTTGACAGAAGTGAGGAGGGGGGAGGGGCTTTTGGAGGGTCCAAGAGGGTGGAGAAGATGGAAAATAGTTTTTTAGGATTGGAATAGGAAAATTGGATCTTATCTTGAAAGAAAGTGCTTTTTGCCTGAGAGATCGAAGCAGAGAAAGAGGAGAGGAGAGCTTGATAGGTTAGGAGGTCGTCACGGTGTTTGGATTTCCACCATTTCCACTCTGCTGCCCTAAGGACGGTTCTATTAGCATGCAGTGCATCATTTAGCCAGGGAGCAGGAGGGGACTGACGAGCCTGCCGAGATGTGAGAGGACAGAGCGAGTCCAGAGTGGATGAGAGAGTAGAGAGGAGAGTTTCTGCAGCAGAGTTTGGAAGCAGGAGTTGGAACGAATCAGAGGAAGGGAGGGTTGAGAGCACCGACGAGGCAAAGGTAGAGGGGGAGAGGGAGCGAAGGTTACGGCGGACAAGTGTAGGATGGGAAGAGATTAGTTTGTTATGTTTGGAAAGGGATAGAGAGAATGAAATGAAGAAGTGATCGGATGTGTGGAGCGGGTTTACAGAGAGGTTAGAAGTAGCGCAGTTCCTTGAGAATATGAGATCAAGGACATTGCCAGCTTTATGAGTCGGTGGGGATGGAGACAGTGAGAAAGCAAAGGCGGTTAACAGAGATGTTAGTTCGTCTATCTTCCCCGTCTGGAGGTTGAAGTCTCCGAGAAGTACAGCGGGAGGACCAGTTTCAGGGATGAGTGAGAGGAGATTATCTAATTCCTCCAAGAAGTCCCCCAAGGCGCCTGGTGGACGGTAGAGAACAACAATGGTTAACTGTATAGGATGGGTTACTGTGACGGCATGGAATTCAAAGGTGGAAGGAGTGAAGTTAGGTAGCTTGAAGAGGGAAAAGCTCCATTTGGGAGAGAGCAGGAGACCAGTGCCACCTCCTCTGCCAGTGGGTCTGGGTGTATGGGAGAAGGAATATGCTGTGGAGAGAGCTGCTGGGGTGGATGTGTTGGATGGAGTAATCCACGTCTCAGTGAGAGCAAGGAAATCCAGAGACTGCAGGGAGGCGTAGCCAGAGATGAAGTCAGCCTTAGGAACAGCTGACTGGCAGTTCCACAGGCCACCTGAAACTAGATGTTGGATCTCAGTGGAGCACGTGGGATAGATGAGAGCAGGCCGGTTATATCGATTACGAGATACACGGGGCCAGTGATAATTGTGATACACTTATGAATAGCACTACAGGTAAGCAGCAAAATATATGTTTTGTTTTTTTACCCCAAGAGCTGTTTTGATTTTTAGTGTGTGAAAACAAGTTAGCAAGATTGCAGCAAGTTCTGAGGCTACGCGTAGTTAGCTAACAGCAGGGCTGCCCCTGGCCCACTGTATGAATAGGTTACAAATAAACTAACATTATTTTAATGAATAGCTGAGATAGATATGTTAGCTAGTTGCCTACCCTAATTTATAAACAGTTGAAATAGCCAGCTAGCGTTAAGTATGCTAATGGTTTTCCTGTAAGTTGTTGTGTTCACATTTTGGGTCTTTTTTTATATGTATCTCTTTGGAGGCGCTACAGTTTGCCGGGCTGTTAAACTGTATTAGCCTACTAGAGATGTTGCTGTGTGTTTGCCCACCTGTTAAAGTAATGTATTACAAGGCTGCTGTACTACATTAGTTTAGCTGATAACACACGCATAGTAACAGTAATGAGCAAATAACTGAGATGCAACAATATACATTTTTTGGTAACTAATCGTGGTTTATAACATCCATTTGAAAATCTTAAATGTGCTTGTGTTGATGACCCGAGTTGATTTGCCAAGCTACAGCCTTACATCGGCCCACCATTTTTAATAACCACCTACAAAACCTTACAGGAAGATACAGAAACGGATTAAGATGCTGACTGAGGCTTTAGCACTGCTATAACAGTTGGTCTGCAGCCAGCTGCTCACTCACAGAGGTCACTGAGCAGATAGCAACCCACACATTTGTGGATTTCACCTTCTAGGATGCTGGGGTCAACTGGCCACGATCTTTTCTTTGGGGGCCGTCGACACCAGCAGGGAAACCTGACTGGGGGTGGAGTTAGACTTTCGGACAAGAAGACAAATGCAGCCTCCTTCTCTAATTAGGTTTCTCATGGGCTGCAAGAGGAGCTGTGGCGCTCAGCCCAAGTATTCACACAGACATGATGTTTCCTTGGTGATCTGACAGGAAAGGAGACAGTCTCTTCTAAGTGTACAATAACCTTTTTCAAAGTTTCAGTGGTAAATCTCAAGAGGTTTGTATGGCCAAGCTATAGAGTAAAGGAGAATGAATGAGCAGACTACAGTCTTTCTTACCGCTGCTGTTTGTTTTGGATGGCAGTGCAGTGTGTGGTAATGGTGCTCAGGGACCACTCATGAGAGAGACAGGCGTGCATCTTGCTGGGTTGAATGAGAGGAGCGAGACAACTCTTTGGGTTGTTTAAGATCTTATGGGAGAAGAGAAATGTGTTGTTTCCAGACAATCGGAGGGAAAGTGATGATGCAGCATGGATGAGAGGGGGAGATGAATGGGATCTGTTACATAACCTGTTTTCCAAGATTTCAGATTGAGTTTGAGATTTCCCATACATTTTACTGCTGGTTTAAAGCATGTCTGTAAACTTGCAAATGGCCACAATGCGCTGTTATTTATAAAAGATGAACCACAGCATTAATTGAACTGTGCTACACACTGTGTTGTGGCAATGTGATCAATTGACACAATGACTCTACACTCAATCAATTCAAGTCATTATAAAAGTGAATGCATTGACTCAAATAATCCAGCAATCAGTGTTGTGGATTATTCAGGAAAAAAACCTCTGGTTTCTGAAGTTTTATGATATTGTAGTAGCATGCCAATTCAAATTTAAATGAAAGGTAACGATTAACCTGCACTCAGGATAATTCCAAAAGTCCTGTTCAAAGGGATCACAGGAAAAGACGCTCAGTAACATGATGTAACTTGGCATAGAAAGTGCGTGTGGGCACATGGACCGAGCGGTGCCGTGAGTGAAGCAACAATACAGCCGACAAGGGGGAGTTTCTTCTTGGAAAGCGCATGCAATCCCTACAAAAATTCCCGGTGACTTCAGATCCAAGGAGGTGGTGATATTCATGGGAGCACGATTCAAACTCTCTCACTTGGAGTACAGCTTCAGCAGCCCTGAAGCCAGCACGCTGCTCTCTTTTGAGCCTCTTTCTCTTGTTTAACATAAACTAAAACAGATGGAATAATGTTTGCCTAAAATAATAGTTGTTCACTGCTGGAAGGAAAGCTTAGAGTTTCTCACTTTGGACTGTAGTTAGGTGCTGATTTGACAACCTGAAGACATTACTGCGCAATCTCTTACCTGGGCATTATGAAGAGGTATCCAGGCTTTTTTCATTCCTGGGAGAGGATGTCGTCTTGCTGAACTCGTGTAGATTAATCGCGGACTTTTATTTCATTTGCTCACATTTTAGTGGCTCTCAATACAACTGTAACGCGATCTGCCTTTTTACGCGGTACTTTCAAAACGTTGCATGCTGAAAATGGACCGCGCAGGATTTGTTGTTTTGATGCTTTTGATTGTTGCGCTGGTGCAAATTAGTGACAGTCACAAGGACACAACAGGTGGGAGGAAAGAGGGTGCAGGGGCAGCCCAGGCGGTGTCGAACAAGCAGCAATCCCGGGTGAGGAGTCAAGGTCACTCGCCAAGGGAACCAGAGGACGATGCATCCCCGGAACCATCCAGTGAAACTTCTCCTGGGACCAGCCGGTCAATGACTCTTGTCCGACTTCCCAGGGGCACATCCAAAGCAGGACCGGCTCATGCTGCAGGCGTCTCCCGGGAAGACCCCGTCTCTGCGACGCGGGATGGTGCGCTGCGCACCGCCAGACACCCGGGCAGCCCGCTGCACAGGAGCGGAGTGAACCGGAGGCAGAGCAGCAAGACCGGCTCTGCCAGCACAAGGAGACTTGTTGGGTAAGAACGGAAGCCAAATGCTCATATAAAACATGTTTACTTTGCTTTATCAAGCTGTTTAAGCCATTCACGTTCACTGTATGGGCAGAAGTTTTTTAGGAATCTGTGTGACCTATTTTACTGAGTCCATGTGGTTTACTGTAAAGTGGTTGTGGGCCACTAAAGCAGAATATCTCTTCCTGTAATGCAATCCAAGTAATTATGTAACATATGACCCGCAGAAAAGGGCTTCAAAGTTGTGCTCCATGTCAATACAAAGCCGTGTGGATGGAATACATTAGGTGAAAGCTGTATACAAATGACTGTAATGTGTGTGTTTAGTTATCAGGGTCATGGCAGGACATGTAATAATAGCTGAGGTTAAACACTGTGCTGATTACTGGGCTGATAGTGGAGGTGTATAATGAGCAGCAAATGTATATGAATATATGAACTATTTTGACACTAATGTAACACTGCATTATCACCATTTCCTCCCATTACTACACATTACAGCATATTTAAATGAAAGTAGGAGAATGGCTGTAGACTACTTCAATGTGTGCACCCTTTTATTCTCTTGCCTGTGGCTATATGTAGTGGTTCAACCGGAGCCTTGGCTGGTGAACATTTGCAAATTTGCTTAGTGATCAGAAACACCTGTTTCTCAGATGGCCCTCTGTCAAAGCTGCAAATCCCTATTTTTTTGTCTTTGTTAAACTCAGGACGATGGGTTGTTTCCACATTAAAGCTCTTTTCTTTTTGTGAAATGAACCTTCATGTATCCAGTCCTTTTTGTTCCATAGGGACAAAGCGTGATACACACCAGAGGGAAAAGGGTTTACATAACAATCAGAGGGGGATTTTAATGGCTCACCTTGGGTTGCAGACACTGAAAAACAAACACAATATCTCTTTTGTGTGTCATAAAATGGGCTCTTGCCTTTAGGAAATTGATTATTTATATGGCTAATTAATGCGGAGGATGATTAAGGCAATTGGTGTGCCATCTGTATGCATACAAATAATGTACACTCACCTGCCTTAAACCTAAACATTGATAACATTGGGAATGTTTTCCAGTACTTATATCTGAATTGTATTTACTCTGTCCACAAAATAACTGTGTTTTATTGTGCACTGTCAATATGCCCTGATCCATCACACCTTAAAAATAACATTTCTTAGCCAATCCGTCAACCCGACAGTTGTTCTCATGCATGGTTGAATTTCGTTGCTGTCAATTTAAAGCAATGCATTAAGTAAATTCCTGCCTGTAGTGTTCAATCAGACATGCTTTATTACCTTGCTTGACATTGCCAAAAAAAAAGCATTCTCAAGTGTTGAATGAATTGGCTTCTTTGAGTTTTATAGAAACATAAAGGTGGCGTTACATAACTTCCAGGGAACATTATAGTAGTCTGAATGGTGACACATTGATTCATTAGCTTAAGATGAATCACCCGCCACTTGTTAGAGAAAGTGTTTTCATGACACATTTCCTCTCTGAATTCCCACTCAGATCACTCATTTAGTGGACCCGGAGGCACTGGAAGCACCAGGTTTACTTTTCATACTCAGTATGACTCCCTTCTGTGTGCACCTGTCAGTTGTGGAATGATTGAGATATCTCAGTGGTGAAATTATACCCTGTGCCTCATGTTTGAAATACAAATATAACTATGTGTGAACATGGTTTTATCTTCATTTTAACCTGGGGCAGGATCCTAATTATGTTGTATAACGTTCTCCATTACATACATATATCCCTTGACGGAATTTGAATGTGATGACTGATGTATTTGGCACGGGCCTGGCCTGATGTGTTTGATTTATGACAAAGTTAAGCCTGCCAGAGGGCCCAAAACAACTGCACGTTATCCCTGTGACGCCCCAGTAAGACTTGCAGTATCCAATGAGCCCAATCCAACTGAGGTCAATGAGTCAATTCCCGTTATCTTCTCAAATCACCATGAGTCAGACATCCACTTACTGTAATATCTCGTGAAAGGATGACGGGGCACAGATCCTTGCCAGCGCGGTGACTGTTGCCCTCAAGTTGCTCTTGCGGTCTGGTGCTTTTTCATCTATCTCACTGCGATAAATTGACCCGTGCTGAATGTGTGGATTAAAGAGTGCAAAGAATGCAGTTCTTACTGTTTAAAACTTGTCATCTCTCATTTGCTCAGTGATTTATAGAAGATGCAGGGTGCTTTTCATGTCCCGTGTGTCTCTCATAATCCCTTCAAGGCTCCGATAACTGTTTTTGTTTTCACTCGACTCGTGCATTACAGAGGGACTGGATCCTCGTTCAGATAGGGTTTCGTGACTTGCCCTGACATTTTTATCAAATAAAATGCAATTATAGTGTAATCTCTAAAGTGTTCATATCAATAGGAAAGCCACAACGGAATGATCTGTAACTGTAACAGCCTTAGCAACCAGATCAGCTTGTCGTGCAAAGATTTGATGTTATTGCTCCATGGATTATTAAAATGTCCTTGTTATTTATGGAGGCTTGAAGCTGTACCGTCAGAGTCTTAATTCACCTTTTTTTGTATTTGTCTTCCTTTCAGGCCTAATGTCTGTGGAGGTCAGCAGTGCTGCTCAGGCTGGGCTTTGGCACCAGGAACTAATCGCTGCATAAAACGTAAGTAAAAACCTTGATTGTCCTATTTACATTTGAAATAATAATCTAAGCTACGAAATATATCTATTTTATTATTTACATACTAAGGACACACATGGTTGTAAGGTCTGCAAGCAGCACACAAGCACACTGACATGCATTATGTACATTAGAGCTTTCTGAACTAGTAAACTTCTCAGACAGAGGCTTTAGAATCTTATTCACACAGACTGAACATATAACTCAGTAAATGGCCACTAATGACTGTCCTGTCAAGTGGAATAGCCCAATGAAAGTTTTCCTAGGGTGTTATTGTCCTCATGCTTTTTCTTTTCATGTTGGATCCCCGCATGGAAATTACCATCATTAGCACTTGGCTCGCTCTATGACAGAAGCCCTTAATTATGGGTGGAACGGCTTCTTCTTTTATTTGACCTCAGCAGTATTGGATATCCTAACTGCCAGATAATTAAAAAGTGGACTAGAAGATACTGCGAGAGAATGAACAATCGACCACTTCTTGAGAAGCAAAATTGGTATAACAGTATCCGTGCCCGCAGAATTCCGACAATCATACTGCAGGTTTTCCACAGATTTTAAATGAACCCAGCGATGCTGCTTTGTTATCCTAACTTAATATTGTCTGTCACATTACAAGGTAAAAAAAAACAATGCAAAATTGCGTAGATTGTTGTTTTGGATCACTGCTGAAAACAAAACATCTGATTTTGGGTCGGAGGACGGGTTCCAATTCAGCACAGAAATGGCTACAGCTTGAACTAAATGTAGTCTTTTTATGTGATATTTGAATTTCATGTTTACGACCGCCATTGTTGCTGCAGACTGAAATAACATGTTGGAATTGGAGCTTTTTTAGAGAGAGTTATCTTTACATTTTATGAGTAAAGTAAAACCCACACGGCAGCTGGCATCTATCTATCAATGTAGCAGCTAGCTAGCTATAGGCCTACCTCTCTTTGACTTGTTTACTGTTTTCTCAGTTTCTCTTTGCTAATTATCCCCCTCACACACACACACAGTTGACACACATTTCTGCCGATTACACAACAAGCTGATTGGCCCCATCTCCTTCCCATCTCTCCAGTGCAAAGCATCCTCCTCATTTTTTTCTCAAGTCTCAGCTAAAGGCACACTTACCAAGGTGTAAATTACATCTAGCGTGGAGCTGCGGCTACTCAAATTAAAAGAGTAAATACTTTTAATCTGCCAAAAAGTAACAGGTCCAGTCTAACCTGCCTGTGTTAAACAAGGCAATGCATCTTAAGCAGGCCAGGGTCTGTCCAACCATCTGGACCCTCTTACAGCTTGGCCCTCACCCAGGTCTGACTGGAGGCTATGCTATCATCAGCTGAGTGAAGCCTCACGGCCGGCAAGGTGCCAACACAAAGGCCCCAGACTGGAGCTGGGACTGGAAGCCCCCACGTAGAAGACCTCCATGGAGGAAAACAGGCTCAGGCTATCTTTATTTCGTCCCCACCAGAGACCCAGGCTGCTTTATTAGGCGATGGCAGCATGAGAAAACATGTTCACAGTGGGGACAAGTAAAAGGAACAAACCTGTTGTCTGGAAGCATAAGTAAAAACATATCATGGCTGAGCTGCTTCTAGGAAATTCTCACTGAAGGGATTGAAGTCATGTCTAATATTAAAAGTGTCAGCTGCTTGCTGGATTGGGTGTCTCACTTATGGCTTCCAAACAATACCTCCTTGTTCAATTGGGTTGAGCTCATAGCAAATCTATGGCAGGAATTGGATCACTTGTTGTCCAGGGAATGCGCTTACATGTCTTTAGAAGTGTGGATATAAAACCGTCTACGTCTGAGTCTCTGTGGGTCTGGTCGGAGATTGTTGTCTAGCTCTCCGAAGCTTCCATCCTGCCCATGTCCTGGCAGGTTCGGTGCTGACTGTCTCTGTTTTCGGCTTCAGGATGGATGGTTAGCAGACTTGTTTTTGTATTGAAGTGCATTCCATGTGCTCAAAATAGCTAGGGTTTTTAGATACAAAGCTTTGATCGATTAAATACAGAACATTGCGTTTAGACTGCCGGTGTTTATTTATCTTTTAGTTAACTTGATGATTTTAAGTAAAGATGAAACTTCGCAGGTTTTTATGACAGACGTTTTACCCAACTATTATTAATGGTGGCTGAGAATCAAAGGAGTGTGTACTGTATGAGCGTTGTGTTTGGCCAAGTGTGAGCTTGGCATTACTTCCATTTGTTAACTTGAAGACAGGATCGAAGCTCAAGATGAATGGAGCATCTCGTTTTTTGGGTCATGCGCTTATACTTTATTGCCCGCTGAGCCCAGGTTCACATCTGTTCCTAAAAAAGTAGTGTTGCTTAGATGAAGAGCAGAGGGAGGCCATATTGTATCCTCACGCAGCCACAGCCCACCTGTAGCCTTGTTTGAGTTATAATACAAGACTGTCTGTCAGCTGCAATACTGAGGAAGTGTTTGTGCTGAACACTGCAGATGGTCAGCTGAACGTCTGGATCAAAATCTCTATGGAACATTTTCAACCGGATTTCATGTAATCTTACACCACTTTAGGAAGCTGTGGGAATCTTGTATGTGACAGTAATTGGCACACAAGAGCAAGTTGTTCTATAAAATGTGTATCAGATTGTAGTAGGAAATTGCTACATAAATCTGTTTACAAAATAGTAAGCTACTTAGCTGTGATAATAGGATGAAAGTTTAAATTGCTGGCAAGTTTATGTGTAAATACAGTAACCCCGAATTAGGTGGTAATTCTGTGAAGAATTGCTGTTTTGCCGTTTTGGTTTACCACATTTCTTGGGAAAAAACAATTAAAGTAAGACCTTTAAAAGCCAGTGTTACCGGAGAATAGAGTTGAGTTTTATCTGTCCTCCTTTGTATCGGCTTTCAGAGGCTTCAGTCTTATCTTTGCACCTTTTCAATGTGGCTTTCACTCATACCTAGCTGTAAATGGATTCTTGGATAGGCTACCAGGAGGTACAGACTGAGGTAACGGATCCCTTTGGCAAGTCAGATACCTCCTAGTTTTACAACAAAGGTCTGTGAGGCTGTCCTTACTTTAGACACAGCTTTCTCTTCGAGCTAAATGTCAATATCTGTTTTGAGCAGATGGAATGTTTACCATGTGAAAGATAATGAGTGCATCTGTCACATGATTAAGATCCGCTCATCCCTGGCCCGTGCTTCACCATTCCACCAAATGTCATTAACATTTCCGCAGTAGTTTTTCCTTAATTCTGCTGACAAAGTAACCAACCCGAAAACATAACCTCTTTGCCTGAGGAAATTAGCACTAAGAACAAAGGTCAGCATGTGTGTTGCAGGTATTTTGTCATTAACTAAGTATTGAAGAAATTGAAATTCATTCCAAGGGGGACAAGAATGTCTGTATCAAATCTCACTGAAATCCATCCAATGGTTATGTCACCAAAACCACACACGGCTCGCTGAAGAGGAATGCTACAGTAGGTGTCGGCGCCGCTCATACTGCCAGGGTCACTATACATCAGATTTATGTTGTGTTGCTCTGGTTCCTCCAGTTGACATGGCTGTTTTAGTAATTGGATTAATGGCATAGTCTACCACACACAGTGAATGTACAGGACAATATAGAATACTTACGGACTGTGGGCCTTCAGACTCCCTGCAGCACAGACAGGAACTGGCTTTACATTTAACCTGAGCTCATAATGCTCCCTAAAGTGCCGGCTTTAACGGAATTTATTTCACCACACTATACATCACAATATTTTGGCGAAAGCACGCAACACACATGGCAACTTTCTGCCAGCGGCAGGAGCATGACCCTCTAAAAAAAAGCAGATGTTGTTTAATTTAAACCCCTCACTGTCTCAGAGAGTGCAGATGAAAGGTGCATCATTCACAGGGAGGAATAAAGTTGTTTTCAGTCTCTGAAGCAGTTGGTGATTGACAGAGTGAAACGCGGTAGAAAATAGTTTCTTTTTGATTGCCTTCCAGCTTTCTTTGGCCTGCTGTGCATCTCAGGGCCTCACCCCAACCCTAAAATAACTCCTCATGCAGAAAGTCTCTCTCTCTCTCTCTCTCTCTCTCTCTCTCTCTCTCTCTCTCTCTCTCTCTCTCTCTCTCTCTCTCTCTCTCTCTCTCTCTCTCTCTCTCTCTCTCTCTCTTGCTTACCTCTTTCATGACAAGGTAACTTTCCTTCCTAGCATGTTTCCTATTTACCACCATGTCCCCAGTGTAGTTTAAGTATGATTGAAGCCCTCCAGTGTTGTGAGAGCATGTAAGTCTTATGTTCAGAGATTGAAGCAGCTGTTCCCCATGACAGATATCAAACCATCCCAATGTGGGTTTTATGTGAAAAAAATATTACAAACAATCATAGCAAAACTATACAAATCCACAGTTGCTGTTGTGTGTGAATCCCTTTTACAGTTATGCTCTTCTTTTGCTACAACATGTGTGAAGCAGCTGGAGAAGTATCAAGGACAAACACGTGCGAACGCTTTCTGACCTCCAAAACAGTACCCAAAAATGTAGGTTCACCATCTTCACCTAATAGATACAAGCCGTCTCGCTTTGCTTTTCATTTGCTACACAATAGAATATCCTCCTATATTTGGATTTAGTCTAACAGTGAACTTTGCCCTCTGCATTCAAACTAAGACTTGATCTTCAAAAGGTTGCCTCGAAGGCAAAAGCACCCACATAGCTCTGTGATATTTGCTTTTATTTTAACTTGTCATGTGCTTTGTTTTTAATGGTAGGAAAGATACTTTATTATGCATAACAATTGAATGAATGAACTGTACTGTTATGGTTTTATGGCACTTCTTAGGATAGTGACATTCAGCTAGAGGTCATGAGCTGAAGTGAAGCACATGATGCAGGGTGAACAATGCTAAATTAATTAGTTATGAGTTGATATCCAATGGAAAATGTGCAGTTTCATACATCAAATGTCATAGGCAGCTTTGATTTCAGCTGTTATCCTCAGTTTGTACGATGATGAATATCTCAC